TTTATTTTAAGACAGGATCTTGTTAAATTGCCCAGGCTGATCTGGAACTTGTTTGCCTCCTGCCTCAGTCTCTCAGGTAGCTGGGATTACAGCTATGCACCACCATGCCCAGCCTACAACCCTAAATATTTTTTTCTTTCCTAAATATCTTAATTTGTTGTATTTTCATTCTAGAATTGGGCCACGTTTCATTCCATAAAGCAGAATAAGTGTTTTGAAGGACTGAGCAGAAGAGGTTGGTTTTGTAGACAGAGAAGGGCTGAAGAAAGCAGAAACAAAGAACAAAATGGACTGTTATTTCAAAGTTACGTATTAGACAGGAACAGGGAGACAGACAATAGGAAAATAACCCTTTAGTTAAGATATGGTTATTTCTGGTTACTTATTTTGTATAGCATTAACTTCATTATCATTTCAATTGAAACTAGCCTATTTGTAAAAATTGGCTGAAACTTTCTAATCATCCTTTCTTCAAAGGTCAGATAAACAGCTTAAGTTTCAGCTTGGTGACAAGGAACTTCAGCATGAGTTACTCCTTTTGTGTGTGTGGGTGTGGATGTGTTACTGAGGATTGAACCCAATGGTCTTCTACCACTAAGCTATACCCCAGGCCCCCATTTTTACTTTTAGCCTGTTCTGTTGGGGCCAAGTTGAAAACAATCACCTGTCATTTTTATTTAACAAAAGATGTTACTCAAATTCAGTAAAATATTTTATGTATGAAAGAAAGTTTGCACTTACCAAAATAAAAATATTATACATCAAAGTTCACATCCTTTTCCACTTTTACCTTTTTGTTTGTATTTTTTCAGTGCTGAGCATGAAACCCAGAGCTTCATGCATGCTAGACAAGTACTGTAACCACTGAACCACACTCTCAACCCTGTTTTAAATTTCTAAACATGAAAACTCCAAAGGAATGTGTAGAATGCTGAATAGTTCTTTTCATCTTTACCACCACAGTGCTATTATTTTTATTTCTAATCTTATTTAAATGGAAAAATACACAAGAGTCAGAGGCCTGAGACTCAGCCCAAATGTCCAAAGTGTTAGAAACATATTTTCAAAAAGAACACATATGGCTGTATATGTTGGGTCAACTGTATACCTGGGAATTCTCTATACAGTCTTTATTTTTGGTACTATGGATTGAATCTAGGGGTGCTTTGGTGCTTTACTACTGAGCTACATCCCCAACACTTTTTTAATCTTTATTTTGAGACCAGATCCCTCTAAATTGCTGAGGCTGGCCTTGAACTTGCTATCCTCCTGCCTTAGCCTCCTGAGTTTCTGTGCCAACTTGCCCAGCAATTTTTCTTTTCTTTTCTTTTTTTTTTTTTTTTTTTTGGTGCTGGAGGATTGAAACCAGAGGCTCTTTATCACTGAGCCACATACCCATCCCACTTTATTTTTACTTTTTAAATTTTGAGTCAGGGTCTCAATAAATTGCTGAGAATGTCCTCCAATTTGTAACCCATTTGCCTCAGTCTCCTGAGTTGCTGGGATTATAGGCATGTGCCAACACACCCAGCACATTGTTTCAACTATGGGGATTTGTTCTGAGAAATGCATCGTTTGTCACTGTGCAAATATCACAGAGCACAAACCCAGATGGCAAGGGTTGATCACTTGTCTGGCCTTTTGATGCAATCAAGGTGTGCCGTGGAGAGCCTGTAAGCCCAGCAATTTAGGAGACTGAGGCAGGAAGATTGCAAGTTCAAAGGCAGGCTCAGCAATTTAAGGAGGTGCTGAACAACTTAGAAAAACGCTGTCTCAAAATAAAAAGTGTGCTGGAAATGAGGTTCAGTTGTTAAACACTCCTGGGTTCAATCCCTGGTATCAAAAATAAGTAAGTAAATAAATAAGATATGCCATGAACCCTGATACAGTGGCTGGCCTGTAATCCCAGCTGCTCAGGAGGCTGACGCAGGAGGACAGCAAATTCAAGGCCAGCCTCTGCAACCAAGTGAGGCCCTAAACAACTTATGAGACCTTGTCTCAAAATAATAATAAGGACTGGGAATTCAGCTCAGTGGTTAAGGGCCCCTGGGTTTAATCCCTGAGACCAAAAAGAAATAGAAACTGTTCTGGCTTCAGGAAGTTAGCTGCCAGAGTGGGAGAGGACCCATGAAGGGGGCCACATGGGAGCGAACCTACCACAGGGTCTGTGATGGGCCCTGATTGATGGCCGGAAGAAAATGAAAGCCTCAATCAGACATAGTGGTGTTCCTGAAGCTCCAGCTACTGGGGAGGCTGACTCAGAGTTCAAGGCCAGCCTGAGAACACAGGGAGGCCCCATCCCCCCAAAATAATTAAAATAAATAAATAAACCTGTTTTGTTTTAACCTGCTAAGTTTGTGTTAATTTGTTATGCAGCAATACAAAACTAACACAAATGCAATGTTTTTACTAAAGGACAGAATACTAAAATATCTCATTTGAAGCTTGCATACATATTATTAAAATGAGGTTACCAGAAAAGAAAAAAAAAAAAACTCTACTATAATTGCATCTATTATTAGCAAGCACACCAACAAAATAATTTTTTCCTTAAGTTGGAAAGACACTTTTAGCACTGACATTGTTTGAAATTGTCAATGTCATTGAAAGGTTTAATGAAACCTAGACCGAGTGTTGATCAGTTTTATCATTATCTTTATGTTATCCACAGATGGTATTACCCACTCCACCCTTTTTTTTTTCCCCCTTCTGATTGCTTTGTTTTGTTTTTGGTGTGGTGGGGATTGAACCCAGGGCTTGGTGCATGCTAGGCAAGCTTTTACCACTAAGTCACATCCCCAGTCCAGATTCCCTTTTGCCTGTACCCAGGATGGATCCCTGCTACCACCCTGCCTTTGGTAAACCATTAGTTGGGAAATAGACAATAAATTAAAGTAGTAAATAATAATGATGATGATGATGATAATTATTATTATTATTATTATATTTTGGTACCTGAGATTGAACCCAGGGGTGCTCTTCTACTGAGCTACGTCCCCAGCCCTTTTCACTTTTTTTTTTTTTTTTTGAGGCAGGGTCTCACTAAGTTGTCCAGGCTGGGATCCTCCTGCCTCAGCCTTCTGAGTAGCTGTGGTTACAGGTATGTGCCACTGCACCTCACAATTCAATGTTTTTTAATATATTCCAAAGGTTTTATCATTACGATCAATTTTGGAAAATTTCATTATCCCTAAAAGAAACCTTTTAGACAGGGTCTCACTGAGTTGTTTAGTGCCTCGCAGTTGCTGAGGCTGGCTTTGAACTCACAACTCTCTGTCTCAGCCTCCCAACTGCAGGCATGCGCCACCGTGCCCGGCAGCAAATTTAATCTTTTGAAGAGCTGCCAGACTGTTTTCCAAAGTAGCTGCACATTTGCATTCCCACCATCAATTTATGAGGGTCCTAATTTTTCTAATCCTTGCCATTCTTTATTATTTACCATGTTTTAGAAATTATAGGTTAGGTGTGGTGGTGCACACCTGTAATCTCAGCAGTTTGGGAGGCTGAGGCAGGAGGAGTTCAAAGGCAGCCTCAGCAATAGTGAGGCGCCAAGCAATTCAGTGAGACCCTGTCTCTAAATAAAGTACAAAATAGGGCAGGGAATGAAACTCCATGGAACAGTACTTGCCTAGCACGTGTAAGGTCCTGGGTTCAATACCCAGTACCACGCACATGTACATGCGTGCGTGTGCACGCGTGCGTGTACACACACACACACAAATAGTCACCCTACTTTGATTTGTATTTCCTTGATGGCTAATGGTGTTCAGCTTTTTTTTTTCCCCCTACTGAGGATTGAAACCTAGGGGCACTTTACCATTGAGTTACATACTCAGTCCTTTTTATTTTTTGAGACATTCTTGCTAATTTGTATTATTATTATTATTTTATCCATTATTACATGATTTCTACATGCTAGGCAGGTCCTCTGCCACTAAGCCACATCCCCAGCCCCAGAATCTAAGTTTTAAAGTAACATTCTTGCTGCTTATAATCAAAAGTTAGAAGATCTGTGAAGTGAGGGGCTTCCCTGATCACCCTTGTTAAATCCCAGCCTTCCCTCACTCCGGTTCTGTTTCTCCTTTTCTGCTTTGTAGTTCTCCACGAAGCTTATCGCACTATAGCAAAGTGCATAACATGCTGTACTTACTTATTTTTGAGACGGGTTCTTGCAATGTTGCCCAGGCTGACCTTGAATTAGAGGTTCTCCTGTCTCAGTTTCCCAAGAAACTTGGTTGAAGGGCCTGTGCCACCAAGCCAAGTTTCTTTTTCTTCTTTTTTTTAATGCCTTTATTTCATTTATTTATTTTTATGTGATGCTGAGGATCAAACCAGTGCCTCACACGCTGCTAGGCAAGCGCTCGACCACTGAGCCACAAGCGCAGCCCCCCAGGACAGGCTTTTTACGTATTATATTTACTATCTGTCTCCACCGAGCGCCAACTCCACGAAGCCCGGGCTTCATTGTTCCACCTCTTGTTCCCAGAAGGCGCTCAATATGTGTTGACTGGGGCCAGTGAATAAATTGATGGACGGTGGATGAGTGAGTGAAGGAATGACCCAACGAGCAAATGACCGTTTTGCGGTTTGCCTAGAATACGATAGGCCAGCACCGCAAAGACAGGGGAGAGAGAGAGAAAAGGAAAATAGAAGGAAAGATGGCTCGAAGTCTTAAGGCTTGACCCGCCCCCCAGTAGCGAAGGCTCCTGCACGACCAGCCGCGGCCACCAGAGGGCATAGACTGCCCGGGTCCCCGAGTCCGTCCCGGGACCCCGCCCCCGGGATGCAGGTCTGGGGAGCCCCAGCGGCCCGGCGGGGCTTCCGGACCCTACCCATACCTGAGGCTGTCACGTCTGCGGGCTTCCAGACCCGGAAGTGGCCGGTCCTCGCCGCTGCGCGCGGAGAAACTGAGGCCCGGGCGGAGGGGGCGGGGCCGCACCCCCCCCCAGCGCGAGCCCCCGCCCCGCGGCCCCGCCCCTCCGGTAAGAGGCCCCCAGGCGCCCGGCGGAGGCCACAGCGCGGCGCTGGCCGGCGGCTGCGGGATGGCAGCGCAGAGGCTGGGCAAGCGGGTGCTGAGCAAGCTGCAGTCCCCATCGCGGGCCCGCGGGCCGGGGGGCAGCCCCGGGGGGCTGCAGAAACGGCACGCACGTGTCACCGTCAAGTACGATCGGCGGGAGCTGCAGCGGCGGCTGGACGTGGAGAAGTGGATCGACGGGCGCTTGGAGGAGATGTACCGCGGCAGGGTGAGACGCGGAGGGTCCCGGGCCGGGCTGCAGCGGGGTGGGTGGCCCGGGTGCGGGGTCCGGTCCGCGATGCACGCGCATCCCGCTCCACACCGGAGGTCGCACGCCCCCGGGCAGCACTCATCCAGGCACTCACTCGCCTGCACTCCAGGCAGGGCACTCTGCTTGTGGACAGAGACACACTTGGGTCCCCAAACATGTGTCCAAACACCTGGAAAGGGCCAGGGGGTTCGTCTACGGGAGGCGAGGAGGTAAAACTGAGGAACCAGGGCCACCATATCTGGCGAATGGGTGGGGGGAGGGGTGTCTTAAAGCCAAACATAGACATCGTGACCGAGGAGATAGGACCACAGGGACACGCACAGCAAAGGAAGCAGCAGTGTACACAGATGTGCACGGTGATAGAAGCTGCAGCCACGCATAAACAGAAGTGACAGCCACTTGCAAACTCACGAGGACAGGAGATGTGGGCACTTGTGGATCGGCATTCGCCAGGAGCTGCACCCCCCACCCAGGACACACTTGCCTTGGCCACCCAAACACACACCCTCAACACAAGCACACTCAACACAAAGTGTTCGTGGTAAAAGCTGTAGGGACACACAGACAATGCAAGCTCCAATAGCTAGTCTAGGACACAGAGTGACTCAAGTTACACACATGTGTCTATTATCATCATCTCTTCTTTTTTTTGGTTCCTGGGATTGAACCCAGAGTTTCACACATGCAAGCCTCTGACAACTGAGCTGTATCCTTGGCACACGCATCCATTACTTCTTCTACTTTTTTTTTTTTTTTTTTTTTGGTACTGGGGTTTGAACCCAGGGGCACTTTAACCACTGAGCCACATCCCAGCCTTTTTTTTTTTTTAATCTTGAGACAGGGCCTCACTAAATTGCTGAGGCTGGCTTTGAACTCATGATCCTCCTGCCTAGCCTCCTGAGCATCTGGGATTACAGGCATGTGCCACCCCACTCAACTGCATCCATTATCTTCTAAAGAAAAAAATTCTTGCCACCTACAAATCCAATGACAAATACCACCACCACTCACAGACACAAATCTAGAGCAATTATAGTTATACCATGACACAAATTATACCATTATACAAGTTATACCATTACACAAAATTGAATAAGCTGTAGGTGCACCCAGACACAGAATTGCAGCTGCCCTTGGGCACGCAAGAGCATCAGCCACCCCTCCATATGTCCACACATAGCAGACAGGGCACTTTGTCATTTGAGTCTGCTCAGAGTCATGAATGCAGAAAATAGCCCCAGGTTCCCAGTGGTCCTACGAGCACACAGCAGGAAGGTTGTAGAAGCCATGTCCCCTCACAGTGATACAAGGACCTCTATCCTCAGACACATGTGTGGACTCACGGGTGATCAGGCATTCCGTTGCTGGTGGTGGCATCCTATAATAATAATGGACAGCAGTCCCACAACTGGCCATGGATGTGTAACAATGAGACAAATACACCCAAGCCCCAGCCACATGATGGACACTCACTCAAGACCAACAGGTTCTTGTAGGAAATGGCCCAGATGATGCCACCAACCTCTGTGCCTCAGCCAGCCTGGACCCTTGGCATCAAGCTCTGTGGCAGGACCAAACTCACACCCGTCACCCATCCAGACAGCAGGACTTTGGGTGGGGAGGAGAGACTGTAGGCACAGGGATCCCTTGCTGGGGACAGCTGGGCCCTCTTCCCAGCAGGGGTCCTGAGCCAGACATCTTTTGGGCCACTGCCCAATGAGGCCGAACACTCTTGCTCACTCCTGATTATCTCACCGCCCACCTCCGGAGGCCTGGGTGGCCATCTTCCTGGACTCACCCGGTTGCACTTTGGCCTCTAGCCCCATGGGCTGGCCCTGGGCCCTATTCCCACTTGTGTCCCTTGGGGGAAGGGGCCCGCCCCCTCAGGCTCCCCTCCCCCGGCACCTAGTGCTAAGACTTTTCCTTGAAAGGGCACAAGCCAGCCCCTCTCCTGAGTCCCAGAATATGACATTCCAAGACTTGACCAGGCCTGTTTTCCACAGGAGGAACTGTGGCCAAGGGGAGAGACCTGTGCCAGCCCTGAGGCTCAGGGGCCCAGGGGCCTAGGCATGGGGCTGGTCCAGGACTCTGGGCCTCCATCAACCCGTCTGTCACCCCTCCCCCCCAGCACCCAGATGTTCCGCCTTGGTGGTGCTGTCCCTGACTGCCACATTATTGCTCCAGAATCCGCCAGCTGGGCCCTATGTTGGTGGGGCTCCCCCAGAGCCCTGGACAAAGGCAGGGAGGGAGGGAAGGGCCCTGACCAGCCCTGCTCTCTTGCCTTAGGAGGCAGATATGCCCGATGAGGTCAATATTGATGAATTATTGGAACTGGAGAGTGAAGAGGAGAGAAGCCGGAAAATCCAGGTAGGTGGGGGAGAGCTGCCTCCCTGTCTTCCACTTTGGCCCTAAAAAGAATAGCCCTAGTTGATGTGTTCATTGAGCACTTTACTGTGTGCCACACACTGTACAGTTACCAACTGTTCATCCCCACAAAACCCTAGAAAGCAGGTGCAATTGTTATCTCCAGATATTGAGGAAAATGAGGCCCAGAGAGGTGAGATCATTTGCCCAGGGTCACACAGCTCAGTAGGAAAACAGCTATGATTCAAACTCAGGCAGTCTGGCAGCCATATCCTTTTGGTCTTCACTTTTCCAGGGTTAGAAAATGCATGAGTTTCTCACCCCCTGGATCTGGTGATTCAATCCTGCCCCCATTCACTCTGTGAAGTCCCCCAGGCAGTGTTCCTCTCTTGAAACAGGTGGGAAGTCCACCCTGGGATCTGACTTCCATTTGTCTTGCTGTCTTGGGGCTCTGTTGGGAAAGGGAAGGGGTTGGAGAGGAATAAGTATTATATATTTACTGGGGTTTTTTTGTGGGGTGGGTTTTTTTAGGGACTCCTGAAGTCATGCAGGAACCCCACAGAGGTGAGTTTTTGTCAGGAGTCCCAGGCCTGGTCTGGTCCCCCGCACCCTGATATTGGGGGAGGGAGTGGAGTGGGGTTGGCCAGTGGGGCTCAGCCCCCCCCCCCCAGCTCTTCTGCTCTCCACTGATGCCCTTTGTCTCCTCCTGTCTCCTCCTCCTCCTCCTCCCTCCTCTCCCCATCTGCCATGGGGGCTCCATTATAGGCTCCCTCTGAGCGCCTCCCCATCTGTCTCCCGTCCCTGCCTCTTGCTGGGCCTGCCCTCGGGCTGCTGCCGGGAGCTCAGCCTCTCTCCCTTCAGTGCCTCCTCCAGGCCCCGAAGCTGAACCTCCAGCTCCTCCCACTTCCTTCCCTGCTTTAAAAGGGAAAAATATTCATGTTTCTCCAACCAGCTCCGGGCAGCCTGAGGGACAAACATCACTGTGTCAGTCTGGCCTGGAACTATCTCAGGCCTCTGTCTCTGGGGACCCTCCTGGTCATCTCTTGGCCTGCGAAACATCTCATGTCTCTGTGTCTCTGTGTCTCTCCCTCTCGGTCTCTCTCCTTCTCTCCGTCTCTGTCTCTTTCCCTGGGTCTCGGGTTCCTCCTGCCCCATCTCTGCCTCTTAATTTCCCAGCCGTCCCTCCCTAACCGCCCCCCTCTGGCCCCCACTGACCGAGCAGGAAGCAGAGGAGAGCCCCATGCGCAGGGCCCCTGCCCGAGTCTCAGCACCCCCACCCTGTCCCCAGGACTTCGTCCAGGAGTTGCTGGCCAAGTTGCGGGGCCTCCACAAACAGCCCGGCCTCCGCCAGCCCAGCCCCTCCGACGAGGGCAGTCTGAGCCCCCTCCAGGACCAGACCCGGACGGCACCCCCCTGACCCTCCTGGCCTCGCTGACCCCGCGCTCCCCCCAGCACTGCCCAGCTCCCCAGCTTGTGGATAAGTTGTATTTAATGGTTCTGTGACAATAACACCACGTGCCTGTTTTTCCTCTCGGTGTTTGCCCCCGTGTCCCTGCAGCCCCTGCCCCAGCCTCCCTCTCTCCTGCTGGAGCCTTGTGTCCCAGCGCCCACAGCTGGCCCCGCCAGATGGAGGCTCGCTCCTGGCCAGAGAGCCTGAGAACAGGCCCTGCTGACCCGGCCGCGCCTTGGGACTCACATCCTGTCCTCCCTGCCTCCCCTCCCTCGCCTGGCCCAGTCCCAGCCAGCAGGGTCCCTGTGGGCCGCCCAGGACTGCTGGGGGCAATGACAGCCTAGACCTCTGGGCCAGGGGAGATACACACGACCCAGTGTGGCCCTCATCACCCCAGCACGGGTGGTCACAGAGCAAAGGAGTCATTCACAAGGGCATGAAGTGTGCCGGTGGTCACTGTGTGCCAGGCGGTCACTGTGTGCCAGGTGGTCACTGTGTGCTGGGCGGTCACTGTGTGCCGGGTGTAGAACTGAAACCACCCAGAGTCTACTCTTGGTGGCCGGAAGGTGCTCACTCACTGGTCAGAGAGCAGCACCTGGGTCTCAGGGAGGTACACTGAATGGCCCAAGGCACTTGGGAGAAGCCATTTCCCCTTGAGATGGTAAAATCCTGGAGGAACTTGAAGGCCAGACTTTGGAGGATGGGTGACATGGTATCTTGAGGACCCTCAACTTGTGGGAAGGGGGATGGACATTGGTGCTGAGCCAGAGAAAATACTGGATATTGGCAGGGCCTTCCTCCAACCAGGACAGACCACTTCCCCCTCAGCAAGGGTTAATTAAATCCTCCTGATGGCTGGGAGGCTGGAGGTCAGGGGAGGGGCTGGCCCTGGGAAGTGGTTAGTGGCTGCTAGCAAATTTTCAGGAGGCCGATTGCCTGAGTGGTTTCCAGCTGGATCAGTTCAGAGACAGTGGCAGGGCTTAGCCTGGGCAGGGCCAGAGCCAGGGCATCTCTCTTCTCTCCTCTCCCCTCCTGAGCCATCCAGCCAGGATCAGCAGCCATCCTGGAGGCTGGGCCGCCCAGAAGAGCATCTGGGAGTGGCTGGTCCAGTCCAGCAGGAGGCCACTCTGTCCCTGCACACAGCCACCAAAGCTTCCCTGTCTGTTCAGATAAATGCAGAGAATGTGAGAATGGAGGAGTCCCCCACCATCAACTGGGTCCATGTCCCAGAACACCCACCTTGGGTCAGGGATCTCTTTCTACTTCCCTCTCACAGAACCTGTTTTTGGTTCCTCTTCATTGTGGGGACAACATGTGCTCGCAACCCAGGTTTTGCTGGGTGCAATGGCACAGGCCGTGATCCCAGTGAGTCCAGAGGCTGAGGCAGGAGGTTCTCAAGTTTGAGGTCAGCCTCAGCAATTTAGTAAGACCCTATCTCAAGATAAAATAAAAGGGCTGGGGATGAATCTCCATGATGGTACCCCTGGGTTCAATCCCCAGTTACCTTCCCCACCAACCAGGTTCTAAAGTCCTGGGGTACCACTGTTGGACTTCTCAGTTTCCTCATCTGGGAAATGGGAACTTAGGAGGAAACTGTGGTCAGGCAAACAGTACGCATTGTTATCGACTTCATAACTGGGGGGAGGGGTGGGTCATTAGCTCCTGTAGCCGCCATCCCACAGCAAGATTTGGAAACACTGAGTCGGAGGCCCTCTGATATGGAAAAGCCCCAAGGAACACAGTGGACCTGCCCCACCGCCCCCACACTGAGGCCGCTCTAGTGCCTCCCTCCCACAGTCTGTGGTCTCCTTCCCGCACCACAGCAAGATGACACTTTTTGTCACACCCCACTGCACCCCCCCAGTCTCCATCCGCCCCATTCCCTGTTCCTCTTTCTGCCAAAGATCACCGTTTTTTATCTTATTTATTTATTTAGGTACTGGGGATTAAACCCAGGGTGCTCACATCCCCAGCACTTTTTATACTGTATTCAGAGGTAGGGTCTTGCTGAGTTGCTTAGGGCCTCGCTAAATTGCTGAGGCTCATTGAACTCGTAATCCTCCTGCCTCAGCCTCCCAAACTGCTGGGATTACAGGCATGCGTCCCCCGCGCCCCGCCTTTCTGTTAAATTTGAAATGATCCATGAGTTTATTTTATGGTCTGTCTACACTTCCGCGTCTACAGAATACACACTCCTCGCCGGCTTTGAGGTCCCTTTGAATTGCTAGCGTGGAGACCAGCGCCTAGCACACAGCAGGTACTTCTGCGGGAACAGCGCCCCTGGTGGTCACACCCCGCATTGCAACCTTCTTGTGTGGACGGGTGGGTAACGGCGCCCCCTCGTGGCCGTGTGAAGCGGTGTTAAACTACACGCGGGCGGCGAGATACTGCAGAGTTCTCCCAGCTGTTGCCATTTCATCAAAAGAAGAGCTCAAGCACCGTTTGACTCAGGAGGCCAAAGCAGGAGGATCGCCAGTTCAGAGCTAGCCTCACCAATTTACGGAGGCTCTGAGCAACTTAGTGAGACCCTGTCTCAAAATAAAAAATAAAAATGGCTGGGGTTTGACTCAGTGGTTAAGCACTCAATAAGTAAATTAATAGCGGTGGGGATACGGGGATATAGTTCAGTAATGCAGGACCCTGGATTCAATGTCCAGTACAAAAAAATAACAAAAAAAAAAAAAAAAAAAACCTCCAACAAAACAAAACAAGCAAACAAAAAACCGCAGTGAGTTCCAGAGGTAGATGCTGCAAGGCACTCATCCATTCTTCTTTTTTTTGTACTGGACATTGAATCCAGGGTCACTGTATCATATCCCAGTGCTTTTTATTTTTTATTTTGAGTCAGGGTCTTGCTTAGTTGCCCAGGCTGGTCTTGAACTTGTGATCCTCCTGCCTCAGACTCCCCAATTGCTGGGATTACAGGTGTGCACCACTGCGCCCAACCACTCATCCATCTTCACCTCTGATCAACACCAGACTCAGAGGATCTTAGAGTCAGGCCGTCCTTGAAGATATGACTGGGATTCACCATGGACTGAAGTATCCCAGAAATGCTTCTTACTCTCATAACAAAGAGGACAGGAAGGTCTTAGGGAGGGTTTCTTATTGTTGACATATCAGCCTATCAAGACAATCACTATTGGGGCTGGGGCTGGGGCTCAGGGGTGGAGCGCTTGCCTAGCATGTGTGAGGCACTGGGTTTGATCCTCAGCACCACATACAAATAAATGAATAAAATAAAGGTCCACAACAACTAAAAAAAATTTTTAAATCAGTATCATTTTGATAACACTGTCATTAATAATCAATTGAAACATAATTTTTTAAAACCAGGTTGTTCTCAAGAGCAAAAAAAATGAAAAAGTATCTAACAACTTTTTTTGTGTGTGTGTGATGGGTTGTTGCAATGTTGCCCAGGCTGGTCTTGAACCTGGGTCTTACAGTGCTCCTCCCACCTCAGCCTCCTGGGTATCTGAAACCACAGGCATGTGTCACAACGACTGGCTACTGATTGACTTAACCAAGGAGGCATAAAATCTTGATGGGAAAAACATTACCAATAAACAATATAAAGATAATCTGAAAAAAAAAAAGAAACCATCTTTGTCCTGAGTTAGGATATCTAAATATTCATTTGTCACTTAATTAATTCATAAATCCAAAGCAATCTCAATCAGAGTTGTAGTTGAGATATTTCCCCCACTCAATAAACTTATTCTAAAGCTTGCTTGGAGGAGTAAAGTTGTTCAAATAGTTAATTCAACATTAAAAGGGAGAGGGAGGGCTTCTCGGCCAATATGGAGATACATTGCAAAGCTCTCGAGATGAACAGTGTGATTTGTACCAGACAGAAGCAGATACCAAAGGAACAAAGTAAAGTGCTCTCCACTGACCCAGGTATGTGTAGGGACAGAACATTACATGGGGCTTGGGCTGCGTCTCAGTGGTGGATGCTTGTCTGGCATGTGTGAGGCCCTGGGTTTGATCCTCAGAACCACATAAATAATGAATGAATAAAATAAATCTATGAAAAAAAAAGTTACCTCATTAAAAAAAAGGGAGGGGAATATTGTGCTCCTTGTCTTGAATAAAGGCCATCGTAGTGACTTGCTTCTAACAAATAGACCTGAGGAAGTGGTTTTGAGTAAATTCTGAGGCTAGGTCAAAAAAGGCTTCTGCTTGGTCCTCTTGGGACACTTCTTCTTGGAACCCAGTGGTCAAGTTGTGAGGAAGCCCAGGGCACAGAGAAACCATCTTATGTCCTAGCCCACAGGCAGCACCAGCTACCAGATGCTGTGAGCTAGAAAGTGAGGGGACTCTGCCTTGGATTTGGTTAGACTGCCGTGGTGTGACAACAGGAGATCCCACAGGAGAACGACTCTGACAAGCCATCCTTCTTCCCCTTGCTGTTTGAGACAATAAATGATTGTTTTAGCTACTAAAGTTAGGGTAGGGTGCTTTGCAGCCAATCGTCTATAACAAAGTACCAGAGACCTGGTGCCTTAAACAATGAACATTTATTTCTAGTTCTGAAGGCTGGGAAGTTCAAGATGAAAACTTTGACAGATTCAATGTGTCTTCTCTCTCTCTCTCTCTCTCTCTCTCTCTCTCTCTCACACACACACACACACACACACACACTCCTGTGGATTGGACCCCCCAGGGACCCTCTACCACTGAGCTAACTCCCCAGCCCCTCCTGCTTTTTACCCCAGTGGCTTGGACAGAGGTTTATTTAGGGAAAATGTGGGCCATCTCCAGTGTGAGAGTCACCTGCGGAGTGGGTGTTAGCACTGACAGAGGCCAGGGCTAGGGCTGAACTAGAGATGGAGCCAGGGAAGCTGCACAATTTCACACGGATTACACAAGGCCTTCACGTTCAAGGGCGTAGGTCAAGGGCACTGACCAAGAGCAGTCACTCAGGAGCCCTAATTGTTCCCAAGTGCTTTTTGCATCTCAATGGCTCATGGGCATTTCCTTTGAGATTCAGTACACCTCACCTCTTTATCCCTAATCCCTGTTTCACACCAGCCTTTCTTTTTCTTTTTTTTTTTTTTGGTACCAGGGATTGGACTCGGGG